ACATCTTTGAGGGCTCCTCCCACATTCCAGCCTAACAGATGCTGGCCTTGTGAAAAGACATCGTGCTGGGAAAGGTGAGGGTCAGAGAAAGAGAGGAAGATGCTCCCCAGATGGATCGAGGAAGGGACTGTAACCAGGGTGGTGTTCGTGAGGTGAAGCACAGGGCAAGGTTCAGATCCATTGTCCGTAGGGTCACTGTGAGTCCTAGCTGACTTGATGTCACCTACCACCAACATCTCTGACCTATCTCAGTGGGGACAGCTGAATGTTGTCACTCCCCTGCTGGGGTCTTGCCCGTCACCCTGCTGGACAGCAAGGGGCTTTGGAGATGACCTCCTAGTCCATCCTTTCCCTGCTTGGTGCCAGGCAGAGTCGGGATCTGGGGTTGTCATGGTGGGGAAGACTGCAAATGGGCATGGGGCAGCCATGCACTCAGAGGAGAGAGGGCTTGCTCCACTGAGTGACCCCGTGGCCCACTCTGACTCCTTATAGGAAGTGGGGACCCAGTGCTTGAGCCAGCCTCTCACTGAGAGATGCCTCTCATCCCAAACAATATCTCATTTTACTAAAATGTGAGCAACACAGCTCTGTTCATAACTGCCCAGCCCTGTTCACAACCAAAGTCTCAATTGGTGAACTGAGAAATAAACTAGGGTGTGTGTTGTGTGCCGCTGAGTTGGAACCAACCCATGGCTAACCCTCCAGTGGGTTTTCTGAGGGGGTTAGTCATATGGAAGGAGACTGCCCATCCATCCCCCGTGCAACAGCTGGTGGATTCGAACTACAGGCCTTCAGGATTGCAGCGCAGTTTCTCACCTCTAGGCCACCAGAGCTCTCTCCAACTGTGGTACACCCATACAATAAATTATTACTCAGAGGTACAAGGAAAGGAGCTGTCCAGCTGTGATCCATGAATCGTTAGTGGAAGAAGCCAGTCTGAAGGACTGCAGACTGTGGATTCAGACAGCACGTGGTCTCCCAGCCTGCTCGAGTTGCCCACTTTCACCCTTCTGGAATTCTTGGTACCTCTTACAGTCTGTGATACAATGGGGCAGCACGTGATCTGATGATGAATTCTCAGATGTTCACTGGCAGAGGCTTAAAGAACACATTGATAAAGATCCCAGTAATAAAAAAATTATAATGAAAATGATAAAGATATTCAACTTCACTCAGGACCAACTTACAGTGCAGTGATAGGACTGTAGGAATGGAACTCCACCACCATAAGTTGGAGACAGACAGTACATGACAGGCTGGAAAAGACAAAACTATAGAGTAAGACGATCAGAGGCTGTGAGGTATTGGAGGGAGGATATGAATGGGTATAGCTGGGGGATTGGGGTCAGTGAAACAATCGTGACTAACACTGTATAACACTGTAATGTGAATACCTGGCAGTTATGCACTTGTCAAAACCTATTGAGTTGTCAGGTACCATCAAGTCAACTATAACTCACAGTGACCCAGTGAGCCCTGCCCTGTTCTGTCCTCACCATCTACTCCGGATTCGTCCTGCACTAAGGGTGCCGTGGTAGTCTAACTCACTGAGCATTTTCCTCTTTCTCTGACCTTTTCCTAGCATGATGTCTTTTTCCAAGGACTGGCCCCTCCTGCCACCATGCCCAAAGGATCAGAGACCAAGTTTCACCATCTTTGCCTCAAAAGAGCACTTTGTTATGGGTCAAAACCCCTTGTGAAAATGCAGTGAATCTTAGGATGGACAATGGGCGTTAGTTAGTAACGTCGTATGATGTTGTTGTTGTTGTGTACCATCAAGTCAGAACTGACCCATAGCTGACCCTCCCGCTGAGGTTTTCAGAGACAGTAAATTGCACGGGAGGACTTTCTCCCATAGAGCAGCTGGTGGATTTGAACTGTGTGCCTTTGGGATTGCAGCACAGTTTCTTACCACTAGGCCATTGTTGTTGTTAAGTGCCGTCGAGTCATTGGTGACTCATAGTGACCCTATGAACGAAAGTCCTCGACACTTGTGTGACTCATCCTTTCTCCAGGTTCACAAGGTTTCCGGAGGCAAACTATTATGGAAGTGGATGTCAGTCCTGCTTACAAGCTTGTTTTAACCGGGGAGCTCCACCAAACACTGTCCACCATGGGGAACCATTATTGGCATTTGACACATCAGTGTCACCGTGACCACAAGTTACCTCTGTACAGCAAGTGGACACACCAGAGCTATTATGTTCTAGAAGAATGTTTCACCAAAAACAAAGATAAGCCTTAGGGCCGCAGATTAGAGTCACCCACCTGTGGCTTGGTAGCATCGCTTTCGGTCCACTAGGACAACTGGTCTCTATCTTGTTAAGTGCCGTCGAGTTGTAGGTGACTCATAGCAACCCTATGAACCAAAGTCCTCGACACCTACATGACTTTCATCCTTACTCCAGGTTCACAGCATTTCCAGAGGCAAACTATTACAGAAGTGGATGCCGCTCCTGCTTCCAAGCTTCCAACTAAGCCACTAAAGCTCCCTAATTCTGTGTATTTAACAGTTAATTTCATATAGGTAGCAATCAACAGCAACAAAAGCACCATACCAATGCAAGATGCCAATAACAGAAGAAAATCTGTGTGTGTGTGTGTGTGTGTGTGTGTGTGTGTGTGTGTGTGTGTATGTGTGTGTGTGTCTGTCTGTCTGTCTGTCAGGTAGTGGGGTGGGGGAGTATATGAACTCTCTATACTAACTGCTCAGATTTCCTATAAATCTGAAACTGTGCTAAAAAAAAAGAAGTCAATTAGTTGAAGAAAAATAGTGAATGACAACGTCTTGCTTCACAGGCACCTATTCAGGCTGAGCGGGGGGTAAGTTGGCTGGCAGGCGGCGTGGAAGGTATGGACATTGTCTCTGGAGAGTGAGACTGGCCCAACAAAGGCCGGCTCATTAGGCTTATTAAAGGTGGGCATCCAAGCCTCCTCCAAGGGACTTGAGGGTCTGGGACCACAATTCACAGTTAATGATGCTGCCAATCTTCTCCAAATGAGGCAGCCCGCTGGGCAAAGGGCAGCCCCACCTGTCCCTCTCATCAGACCACATCCTGTTTGTGCTGGGTCTTTCATCAGCCCCATCAGCTCTGCCCGCTCCTTCACCACCAACGTCCCCAATGGAATCACAGGGTCTGGAATGTGGAGCAATCAGACCACTTAAGTGGCAAGTGCACCTGGGAGGCCTCCTTAAAGCGGGGAGGACCCACTTTCTGGACAAGAGCCCAGCCAGCCCAGAGCCCAAAGACCTGCCATCCCACCTGCTGAGAAGACCAGCAGCATGGTGAGTATAGATCCTAGCAGGAACTCTGGCCACAGCCCTTGGCCAGGTCAGGAGCCAAGCACAGACTCAGGGTTTACAGATCCACAGGTCCGGGGAGGCCCAGAGAGATGGAGACTAGTCTTTCTTCTCACGAACTGCTGAGAGCAGTGCAGACTGACCATACCTTCCATGCTGCCTGGCTTTTCTTACCATGTTTGGGGATTGGGGTCTGCAGGACCAACTTATGCCGAGGCCCAGGTTCCAGTAGTGAGTGGCCTTAGGATTCTCAGTGGGTCTCAGAACCATCCAAAAGGAGAGATCAGAGGCCAGCGCCAGCGTGGACTCATCCAGCAGGAGGAACACTCCTGTTTCACATGAAACCACTTCTGTAGGGGGCAGGGGATGGGGTGAGACGCCACACACCCATTCAGCCGGGTCCAGTTTAAAGCTTTCTCCTGCAGCACGCGTCCTGGGGGACTAGAGGGACTTAGCCATGTAGGTAGAGAGAAGGACAGCTTTCATTATTATTTTTTAAAGCTTTCTGGTTGAGCTCACTCCTTTGAAAGGTTTTCAAGGGAACCATTTCTGGAACAAGCTCTGGGGAGTCCTGTGCTTTCTTCTCTAGGACTAGCTCGTTTCAGTCTTGCCTGGGTTCTCAGAGGACAAGCCAGCGCTGGTCATTACCACAAGACCGCCTTCCTCTGAGAGGCAGTGGACAGCAGCGGGGGCAGTCCTGGAAGCTCTAGTTCCATTTCAGATCCCCTCCAGGCTGCCACGCATGGTGTATGGTGGCAGGTTCAAGTAGGAGCCAAACCCAATTAGACAGGATCTTGAATTCCAATTCTGCCACTTTAAATCTGGGCAATTTTGGACAAGTCACTTCTCTTTGAGGCTGAGTCCTTCTTGGAAAAATAGGGACACACTCTCCCCTCCTGTTGGATTTTGTGAAGACTGAATCAGTCATGTGCCGAAGGCATTTCCTACAGGATCCCTCCCCACTAGAACCACTAATCCCAGCACCTCCACTAACAGGCGACCTGGAATTTTCTCTTTATTGACAATTTCCTTGCCTGAAAAAGTGGGAATAATAGGAGCCACAAATTCAGATTGATAGGGATTCAAACGCAATCAGAATTGGTAATAAGTGTGATGACATATGCAAAGTTTGGGGCTCAGGATGCCTCCCTGTGCCCCAGGCATGGCTCTGTGTTCTGTGAGTTGAGCCAGGACCATAAAATCCACTCAGTGTCAAGAACAACTAGTTTCCATGTTAAGAGCGATCAGCAGAGTGTCCCAATCAAATAGCTTAGTGAGACCTATTTATTATCAAGTTGAAATCTAAGAGAGATTGATGCTTTTAACTTTCTACCCCAAAGCTCTGAGATGATATGGCCCAAGAGTCAATAATTATAATAAAAGAAAAATGAACTCAAATTGACTCGGCGCTCCCAGGGGCAGCCTGCGCGCGGCTGTAAGCCATTCCGGCAGCTGTGGTATTATAGGGCTAAGCTGCCACGGCAGCCAAATCCAGGGGATTTCTGGAGAGTGAGAACCAGTGTAATTGGTGCAATCAGCTCCCGCGCCTGCTAAGAAAATCAAGGCCAGGTCCCAGCCTACAGCCACTTCCTCATGTTGTAGTGGCCTCAGCGGCCAGCCAGGCCTAGAAGTTCTGTTGACGAGCTGTCCCACGCAGCTCACATGCAGCCTGTAACCTCTTCTCTCTCCTCTGGGTCAGATGATGCGCTCCTACTCCCTGCCCTGCCTCCTCCTCCTGCCCCTTGGTGCCTGCTTTCCTCTAGTGGACAGAGAGGAGCCTGGAGACCCCAGGCGTGGCTTCGGAGCTGAGATGGGCTGGGCTGACCTGGCCCGGGGGCATCATCGACCTGATCTCAGGTGGGGTTCCTCTCGGCAGCCCCGGGCTCCCCAGCCGCTGGCCCTCCTGGTCATAGCCAAGGAGTTGCAGACATCCAACAAGGAGCACGCCGGCTTCAGGTTCCGGTTTGGGAGGCAGGATGACAGTGGCGAGGCCACCAGCTTTCTCCCAGCAGACGGCGAGAAGGCCAGCGGTCCCCTGGGGAACCTCGCTGAGGAGCTGAGCGGCTACAGCAGGAAGAAGGGCGGCTTCAGCTTCCGATTCGGCCGGCGGTGAGGGGTGGTGTCTGGACAGGAGGCCTCTGCTGACCGTCGTCCATGAGCTTCCACTCTGGCCTTCTCACATCTCAAAGGACATTGAAAAGGTGTTACAGATAATGTATAAGCAACACACATTATTATAGAGGTTTCCTTAGGTAGATGTTTACTTCAATTTCCAACTTTGCTGAAGCAAAACAAGGCAAAACCCAGACAGTGTCACAAAAGTGACTGAAGGTGGTGTCTCCTGGTTGAGGAGAAACCGCTGCTGCTGCCCCAGCTTGCCCACAAGGTGCGGATAGGTCCCAGCCTCCAGTCTGCCCCAGGCTGTGCTGTTCTGAGCATCCCAAGGCCCCAGGGGCAATGAATATGAATGGGGAGCTGGCTGTGCTGGCTCTTGTGGTGGAGGTGGGTGGACTGAGTGATTAGAGTGGGGTAATCCAAGTTCTGACAGTCTCCACAGGGAAGTCTGTAGCTGACATGCACAATGCAACAGTGAATGCGTACCTTCCACTGGGGACGCATGACAGTTCTGATAGTGAAAGGGGGGGGGGGATAAAAATTCCTGTTCTCCCGCCCATTAACACAAGTTCCCTCTGGCAAGAAAAAGCCTCTGGAGGGGAGCTGCCATTCCGTCCCGGCCACACCCCCCCCCCCCCCCCCGGTGTGATAGTTGTCCCTCCCTGTGCCCTGGTGGTGTCCACCAAGCCCCAAGACCTGGATGCCGATGAAGAAGGAATAGTTTGTTTGCTACAGCAAGGCTGCATTTCAATGCTCACAATAGCAATGTGTTATGTGTATCTTCTGAAATAAAAGTTGTAACAACTGCACAGCCCTCCTGGGGCGCTCGCCTGACTTTTAACTACAGGTCTTCCTGCCCTAGGAACTTCATTTTCCTGAGCCGCAAACGCCTTAACTTTGGGGAGATGGAAATTGTGCTGCTGAGACCCACACACCTCTCTCAGCAGCCCCTTAATTGGCAGCTGGTAAAATACCCACGGTCAAAAGGCATGGGGAAGCGCTAGGTAGGGTATATTTTCTCTTCCATTTAACTGCTCCTTCCCTGGTCTTCTCAGAGCAAAGAGCATTTGGAAAACAACTTTTTCGCCCAGGGAAAGCCGGCACTCAGCCGGAGTGGTTGTAGGCCTGGGGTGAGGCAGAGCCTGCAGCTCTTCAAGCCTGACTTGGTGTCGCCTGCAGCCCATCCCTTGTCAGGAGCCACAGCCTGCTGCCGCTGGGGCTCACAAACAGCTGAGATGAGAACTTATATTGATGTTACTATAGCAACATCTCCCCTCCTCTTTTTGAGCTGCAGCTTACCCCTGTTCACAATTGAATAATTTTCCATTGAGCTGTCACAATTAATTGGTGGATTTTTATTAGCCTTTTAGAACCTCACTGGGCTGGGCTCAGCTTGGCACCTTAGAGCATTTCACAGTGTTTTCCATTCTATTAGTGACTTGCTTTCCCCAGTAACAGCTCTCAATCCTTGGCAGCCAGAAAGCCACTTCATTAAGGGGTGACAGCTGAGAACCACAAAAGTATCACACTGACTGGGAAGCGGAAATTGGGGTGGTAAGATGGGAGAGAAACACAGGAGTCAGAACATCACCTCATGTGAAAGCGAGCTGCCTTCTCATGGAACTGTCATTGCTCCTTACACAGAAAGAGGGTTCCCCGTGCTTGGCACCTGTCTTGGGGTTGTTGGGTGGGAACAATAGAATGGTGCTGTGAGGTGGGGCTCACGACACTCTGGGATGATCTGGTAGGGCTCCTGCAAAGGGTGATGCCACCACCTGCTAACATGGTACGTCCTTGATAATGGACACATCCCAAGGTCATGGCTGTTGGTTAATGAGATAAACACGTGGCCCTCCAGCCATGGAGGGGAAAACTCTAAGAAACGAATGTCAGCTTGTCAATGAAAGAAAGCTCTGCACTGGAATGTGCTCTCAGGTGATCCACACGCCAGTGTGCACCTTACCAGCTAGCTCTAAGGGAGGGTCAACCCCTTCCTTGACTTCCTCCACCTCCCCACCCCACACACCCCAAGAAGCCAGATCAAGCAGAGGGGACTCCATGATTATGACAGACAGGAGGCCATGACAGAGAGGAGGCCATCAGAGGCAGAGAGTTGCCTTGAGCAAGAGCTCCTGGTCCACCCACACCTCCCAATTTCCACACTCCGCCCAGGGCCACCCAGGGCCACTAAGGAACAGCACTTGGAGTCCCCTGGCTGCAGCCGAGGCACTCTCACCTTGCAAGGCACTCTTGTGGAGCTTTACACACCTTTCAGGTGCACATGGCTGGTTTTTAATATAGCAGGATTAGATTAACCTCCATTGAGAACCCAGCCAAGAAGGAGAACAGGGAGGGGACACCTTCAAAAGCGTGGATATACTGTCATTAGGCTTTCGTCAAGACAAAAACCAACAACAAAAGTTGTTCTTCCCAGTTTGCTTGTACATTCAAGCTCAATAACCCTGAAACTCAGAACAGTCAAACTGTTTAGGGCATTGATCTGTTAAATCAGCTCCCACTCTATGTGGCTGGATGGAATCTTTAGCCTTAACTCCTCTCTGCCCTGTTCTGAATCAACCCTTCTGGGATCCACACCCCTGCCTCCCAGCACCCCCAGGCCTGCCTTCTCCTAGATGGTTACTCTGCAGGTGAGGCGCTTCTCACCCATTCATTTAGTGTGAGGTGAACCCCCAGGGCAGCCCCTGCTTCACTCCACCTCACCGGGCCACTCTCGTGCTTCCACTCCAGAGCCACCTGAGAGCCGTTAGCATCTGCTAGTGGTACTTGTTCAAGACACAAAATTCATCATCTGGCGTGTGTGGCTCTAGAGATATTTAGCTACTAAAGAAAGAAGGTCCTATTCTTGAACTATGTCTGATGTATTAAAAAGGTTTCAGAAAAAAGAGGGGGAGCTGCTGGGCCCTCCAAGTCATAGGTATAGAACCTCAATGCCAAAGATGCTGTGAGGGGAATTTCAGCAAAGACCTCACCCCAAGGTACTTCTTCCCCTGAGAGCAGAGGGCTGGGGTACACACCCAGCAACCTGTGCTGTTATAGAACTCTTTCTCAGCCCCTCTGGAGTGGCCTCCCGCACCCTGACTAATGAGCTCTGTCCCCACCTAATAATCTTCTGTACGAAGACAAACTTTATGAGCCGATTCCCTGGAGGACTCAATTCAGGAAGCATCCTTTTGAAATCCCAAACACCTGGAAAAGGCAAGTCAGCTGAATCTCAGCTTGTTTTCTTTCATTCTTGAGGGAGGAAGCTGGTCTCAAGCACAGGACCAGCATGTTATGTTGTGCCCATCCGCACTGCATGCGGATCAGTCCAGCCAGGGGTACTGACTTGGTGCTCTGGCCCCACATGGGCCTCAGGGAGGGAGGACTCATGCTGAGCAAGATGTTACATATCTTGGAGCTCGTTTCCTCACCTGAAGAAAGTGGCAGGATCTCCCTCAGAAGAGAGAGCAATGGTTTCCTTGATAGTGTACCGTCATTTTAAAGCACTCAGACACAGCCTTGTATTTTAAGAAAAATTTCATGGAACCATAGCATACACTCAAGAATCTGTCGAAATCCTAAGTGTACAGCAATGAGTTCTATGGAGTGACACAGCCATCAGACGGCGCCAGAACGTGGCGAAGCAGAACGTGACCCACGAGTCCTTAAGCCTCCACCTGGAAATCCCAGCCCACTTCGCCCGAGCTGGTTATCCTTCATCCTTTTGAAAAAAAGCTGAACCTTCTAAGTAGTACTACCCTTTAGTTTCTGACCTCTTTTGCTCAAGATTATTTCTGAGGTTCACCCGCTGCTGGGTGGGCCACAGGTTGTTCATTCCCACTGTTATTTCATATTCCACTGCATGAAACCCCAAGGCCATTATTTCCCCTTTCTTGAGCTCTGGTGGCCGAGTGGGTGAAGAGCTGTGGTGTCAACAGCTGCGCTGTTCCAGGCAGGTCGTTGAATCCACCGGCTGTTCTATGGGAGAAGGACGAGTAGTCTCCTCCCATGAGATTCACCGCCTTAAAAACCCACTGGAACGTCAGCTAGGCTGTGACTCAACAGCAATGACTGCATCCTGCGTCTTTGATGGACATCTGGACTGTTAGGTTTTGTTCTTTAAAAAAATTAACATTAGACTTCTTTTGTGACAATCACAGGGAACAACAGTAACCTGTTGGCGCCTCTGGCAAACTTGGTCTCAGGATGCTCTTGGTGGAGGACTTCGCAGGTTAAGAGTCCAGTTTTTCCACAAAATGCTGTGAATGTATACATGTACTTTCCTGTGACTACAATCTATACCTTTCGTGAGATTCTCTAGGGGTCTGTGGCCTGAAAAAGACTAAAATCCATTGTCTTAGAATTGTGACTATACGAAGTTCCTTTCACAGAGGCAGCACACCAGGTTAATTCTTACTTGGGAGACAAGGGATTTCTTTCACTCATACGCAGCCAATGTGTACTGCAAACCTGCCAAAGTGACTGCTGTCACATGTGAGCTGTGACCTTATGTCACCACGTGCACCATCCCCAGCCCTCCATGGAAAGGTTCAGGTGTGCCTCAGAGCCAAGGAAGATGCCCACAACTGGGGCCGTTCCTTTAACCGTTCTATGCCTCTGTTAGCAGTACCAAAGCCCAGACTCCAGCTCAGACCAGACATACAATCGTTGTTAAATTACTGGTAAACCGTTGGATCAGCTGGCTTCTGTATTTGAGAGGGGAGACGCTCTGGCCCCTGGTGCGACCTGCAGGGCCCCTGGTGCCGCCTGCAGGTGTGTGGCCTGAGGATGGCACCGTGGACCCTCCAGGCTTGTCCTGGGCTAGCATGTCACCCACACTTCCTGATGTGCAGCACATCTTATGCTGAGGTCTTTGATAAATAGGCTTCAGTGAACCGTGCTCTTCAATATGCTTTGGTGAGCAAGATCTGTATCCTTTGACAAGCTGGTTGGCTTAATAAGTATCATTATCAGAGGGCACTACTTCCCCAACTTCCACTTTCCAAGCTGTCAGCTGGCGTTAAGTGGAGACCAAGCTGAGGAAGAGGCTGCACATACCTGACTGTCCCCTTGGAGAGGGGCTGGGAGGGGTCTCCATACCTCTCCTCTTCCTCATTCTCAGAAACAGGATGTCCAGCTTGTAAACACAAGTAAATGAGAGGTGGTCTGGGGGCTGAGAAAAGTTGAGAGTAGATTCTAGGGCAAAGGGAAACAAAGTCACACGTGGAGGGAATGAACTCTTCTGGGCCAGCAAGGGATTCACACTGGTCTCTCCTCTGACCTTTTAAATGACAGGCACTTTGATAGCCTGAAGTTCAGCCCCAGCCCCTGGGGCTGGACTTCCTGTTCCTGTGCCAGTACAGCAAGCAGAGACCACTTTCAGGGCACTGACCAGAGCCCAGGCTGCTTGCTGTCAGTAAGAAAGAGCTCAGATGCTGAAGGGCCAAGGCTTGGAGCAAGAAAACTGCCGGAGAAGCAGCTGCTAATGACACTGGATACAAGACGGCCCCAGGCAGGCAGGTGGCACACGCTGTGGTCCTGCCCAATCCCTCCCAGTTCTCATCTGCTCTGCACACGGAGTCTCCAGACTTGGTAGGAAAAGAAGACCTCAGCCCTCTCCCATCATCAAGCAAAGAACTGTAAAGCAAACCTTCTACCAACAAACCTGATGTTGTAAACACTTATTTATTTAAAAAATACTACAGAGGAGGAGTTTGGATTCAAAAACACAGTCATATACAGAAACAAATGTACTGGACAAAAAAAAAAAAAAAAGAGAAGACACGATAGGCATTCCAGAAGGCAGGGCTGTGGAAAACTATTTACACATCATTTATAAAAGAGGAAATCTATAAAAGAGTGTAATACCAAGATATAAATGCAAAATATAGTGGCACATTATGTTAACAAAAAGAGACCAGTACCTCATAGACACAGTCGGTCCTAGGGAACCTGTGTGGGTGGTTTGCTTTGCTCTGCAAGGCTGCTGGTGGTGGTCGAGCACCTCCCTCAGTCTGTGGGGCACAGCAGTCGAGGGTGGGGGGGGTGTAAAGAGGTGGCGTGCTATGAGAACAGCACACATTAAACGATCCAGAGAAAACCGTCTCTACCAGAAAAATAAAGTACAAATAAAGGTGAGTCGAGTAAAAACAGGACCCGTGCTAGTCACAGGCAAGAAGGGAAGAGAAACAAACAGGATTTTCTCCTGGTTTCTCTGGGTGTGACTGTGAGGCCCAGGGAGGTGCCTGCCTGTTCAACTAGCTGCTCAGGGTCAAGGTCGCACAGCTCTGCTCCCGGGCAGTACAGGCAAGGAAATGTATGACATCAGGCACTGAGGAAACACTGTTGTAAATACTTTCTGGGGCTTCATTTGCTTGTGGTTTTTCTGAATGATTCCTGACAATTCCCACAGAAACATTAGGCTAAGTGTTGCCCATAGTAATTAAGTAAGAGACATTGGCGGTTTCAGCCGTCACTGTTAGGGTCTCGGGGCCAGCAGCGCGTCTTCTGTCTGAAGCCTGTGCCTGGCGGTGGCTCCTTTTTGTCTCACAGGTGGCTGTGCCCAATGAAGGCAGAACTTCGAAAGGCTTTAGGATCTCCAGAAAACAGAAGAGTGTCCTGTTACCAAGAAAAGGGCCTTGCAAGAATAAGACTCTGTCTCAGGAGAGAATAGCAAGGGGTGGGAGACAGGTCTAAAATCAAGACCTTTCCAGGACACTCAAAGAGTGAAAAGATGGCAAACCTGGGCCTCTGTGGATGTGCTCTGCCCAGCCCAGGCCAAGCCATCTCGGCACCATGCTGTTCACCCACTGCCCGCTGCCCTCCTCTTACTCTGTTGTGGGGTCTGCAGCTGCAGCAACCATGCTCCCCCCTAAGACTCAAGCTTTTTATCCAGGATTAGCACTAGAGGTGCCAAGAGCAGCAGGAACCAGGCTCCCAGGGAAGTGGAGACTAGATGACAGGAACACTGCCCCACACCACAGTCCTCTCAGCGTCCCCTCCTGTCCTGGACCCGGCTTGCTCTACTGTCCTATCTTATGCCCCAAATCACGAGCTGTCCTTTACATGAGAAGTGGGAGCTCCATGGCCCACAGGCACTAATGGAGACACAGGGATGACCTGGCACCCCCTTCTTCAGGACTTCGTTCTCAAAATGCATCTTTCTCTTAGAAGGGTCAATTCTGTGAAACTGTGGAAAGCCGCTTCTCTGGGGCAGGCAGAAGTTAAAAGGCTCAAGTTCAGGACACTAATTTGGATGGTAAGGTGAGGGGTGGGTGGAGCGGGAAAGAAAAACAGACCCAAATGACCTTATCTGCCATTCTCACTTGCTTAGAAATGCTCAATGTTAAAGCAATATGCGTGTGACAGCCTGCGGGGCCTAGGCATGCTGACCTAGGTCCACAGAGAAGGAACTCCACAGATACAACTCAGGGGCAGAGAGGGCTCGGGGAGCAGGGGCAAAGGGGGAAAGTGCATGTGGACAGTTCGTGCACACTTTAGGTAGTAGGGTGGCCCCTCAGCTCTGCCTATGCAGAGCTCTTGGGCCAACGTCCCAGTTCACTGGTCCTTTTCTGTCGCCATCGGGCACAGGGAACTCACACATGCTGTAGGCAGCTCCATCTAGCCTGACACCTGACATCTGCTACCTCTGCACAATATCACTGATTTCTTTCACTGAACTGAGGAGTTTGCTAAAGTCCTGCGTTGCGGCTGGGCCACCCCCTGCGGTTGCTGGGCAGATCTGAAGCTCCCGCAGGTTGTTCTCGAGTTTGTTGATGGCCTCTCGGAAGGCAAATTTGTTCCTCATTTGCTGGATGGAATCCACGTAGCTCACGCAGAACGTGTAGAGGTTCTTGCCGGCTTCCAGCACCGCGCTGTGGCTGGCCATCTGCTCAGAGTTCTTGGAGATGGCGAGGCACAGGGCATTGGTGCTGTCCAGGACCACGCCCTTGGTAATGGTGCCGCTGGCAATCCGCTCTGGAAGCTGACGGGTCTTCCGAAGAGAAACACGTGTGGAGATGAGAGGGATGAAGGCAGTGGAAGACTGCTGGTCCCCTCCCATGGATGAGGGTGCTGACGGCATCGAGGCAGTGGGGGCTGGGCTGGCTGGGGTCCCCGATGACTTGGCAGACGCTTGTGGCTTTGGTATGGAAGGGAGGAGCGGCTTTTTGACGCCCTCTCCTAGCTGGTTTGGCTTGGCAGCATCACCGCTCGCAGCATCCATGCCTGGAGCTGGGGCCTTTGCTCTGGTGCCTCCTGCCTCCCCAGTGGCTTCCTGGCTCGGGCTCTGAGAGCTCTTTCCCGCTTTGCCCGCAGAGGATGGGGGTGGGGGCGGCGGGGCAGGTTTGAGCTTGGACAGCTTTCCCTTGTCTCTCCCTGGGGACTCTGAGGAGTGCTTGTGTCTCCTTACTCTGGACTCCTCGGCAGGGGCCTTGTTGGCACCTCCGGAGGCACCTGGCCCGGCTCTGCTGGTGGGGGACACTGGCTCAGTTGTGCTGAGGGTCCCTAAGGCACTGGGTTTCCCGGCCTCGTCCTTGTGTGGAAGGCCAGAGGAAGGGGCCATCACAACATGCCTACGGACAAGTTTTGGAGTCAAAGTGGGAGGACTGGAGCCGGGGCTGGACTCTGTGGGGTCTTTGAAGACCTCATCGGCTGCTTCCTCATTCTTCTTCATCAGTCTGGGTGGGGGGGTCACCGTGCCCCTTGGCACCTGGTCAGGCTTACTTTCATTTGCTCGCTTCCGAGGTAAAGCGGGCTTTTCACTTTTGTGCCCCCCAAATGTGGACGAGTCAAACTGTCTTCCTGTGGACTGCAAGTCCCGAGGCAGCGTGACAGACCGCCACTCTGTGTCCTTGGCCCCATGGGGGACGCAGGAAGCAGAGCAGGAGCGCAGGAAGCGCTTGCTGGCGCTGCTGCCACTCTCCTCCTCACCGGCCCCTAGTCGATTGCTGGTCAGCGTGCTGGACTTTTTCCACAGGTGAGGAGAGCGGAAGGCTCCGTTGGGAACGCTGGACCCGTTGCTGGGCTTTGGGGTCTTGCCTGGCTCAGCTGCATCTGAGGGCATGAGAGCCGGCGCCCCGTTGCTGACGTCTCGGCCCTCTTCCTCACTGATCACCTTGCGCTCTGGCTGGCCGTCCATCTCACGGAAGGAACTACTGCGCTTGGGAGGGGTCGGGGCTGTTTTTTTCTTCTTCTTGATTAAGGCGCTGAACAAGTTGGTCTTCTTGTCTCTGGGAAGAAGGCGCTCATCTTCATTGAGGCCAGCATCCTGCAGGCCTCGCTCTTTTCGAGGGAGCAGTGGAGACACAGTGGGCTCATGGTCCAGAGGCTCTGAAACAGAAGGGGCACGAGTAAGTCCGGAACAAACTACGAGCCTGCAGGCTGCTGCCTGGTGCTCCATGGAGAGGCTGACACTGGAGCTCTGACCCTGTCAGTCTGCTTGACTGTCAGCTGTCTCACTTACTAGCTACAAGGTCCAGGCAAGCCACTTCATTACTCTCAACCTCAACTTTCTCATCATAAAATAAAACCCCCACCGCTGTCAAGTTGGTACTAAGTCATAGCTGACCCTCTAGTGGGTTTTTCAGAGGCTGTAAATTGCACGAGAGTAGACTGTCCATCTTTTTCTTGCAAAGCAGCTGGTGGATTTGAACTGCTTGCCTTTTGGTTGGCACTTCAACTCTTTACCCATTAGGCCACCAGTAACAATGTATCTATTGTTGTGAGAAAGTAAATAAGATAATTAATGTGGAATATTTATCAAATTAATTATATGTCACTAGCATATAATTTTTCAGTGAATGCTATTATTATTACGGTGATGACGATGATGAAAGGCTCAAGTTCACACACTAAGGCTGGAGGAACGTAAGCTGAGATGGCCCTGATTGCTGCATCCTCTCACTAGTTTTCTTTGCAGGAGCATTGCATCCACCTTCCCAACATCATTATCTGATCCAATTATGCTCAGAATCAGAACCTGTGATCTCTAGACCACCCAGCTGGTAGTGGGAGGGGCCTATGACTACTGCGGTACAGTAACAATGAGCTACTATGCATGGAAACAGATGATCTTTGAATATTTTTAAATGGGGACTCTGTAAACAAATATGAGTAATCAACCTTTCTAGTGTTGCCAAGCTCTCTGCTGGTGAATGACAGAATTATTTTCTTTGAGCTCAAGCAACAAGAAAAGGGGTTTCCATCAGCACCCTGCACTCCAGAACACAGGTACAATAGAGCATTGTAATACCAGGAAGCAAGCTGGACAACTGAATCAGAAGTCAAATGCCTACTAAAACTTACTACAGCAGACGTATTCTGGGAAAGTGAAGTCTGATGAATAATACACATCTCTAGTTCTGTGCTGAGCAGCTAATTGACACTCCTGACTCACTGTGAGATTACTTATCAAAGCATCTTTTCAATGAACACTGACAGGTGTAAGTAAATGTGACTGCTTATCACAGGGCTCTTAATAAGCACAGTATTTCCTACTGGTTAACTACCTGGAATCACAACACAAAGCTAAAGGGTAGAATGTCTATTGTCTAGATGCTATGGCCTCCAAAGAGTTGTACTTAAAAAGAAATATCTTAATTCAGCTTGATTTCTTTTGTAAATCTTTTAGATGTACTTGCTGGGTCTATCTTGCACCACGTGACATCCGTGTGAGCAATGTCCAACAGTCTGTATGTCCACGGTCCCATCGTGTGAGCAATGTCCAACAGTCTGTTATGTCCACGGTCCCACCTCTGGTTGCTGTTGGCATCAGGTAACCTCGAGCCGACTATGACTCTCGAGTGACTCCATCTATGAACAACAGCCCCCTGTGCCATTCTCACAATCTCTGCCATGTCCAGGCCACGACTGAGGTTACTGTGTAAATCCACCTCATGGAGGATCTTCCTTTCCTACCAGCTGTCCAAACGCCTGCTCAAATGTACAGGTTCTGCATTAGCACAAACAGGTGCTCAGGAATTGCTACTCTTCTCAATGTTACCCATAATTTATTATGGCCCACACACTCAAATGTCTTTACATAATCAATAAAAAAAAGTATCTTTCCAAGATGGTCTTTTCAGCCAAGATCCATCTGATATCAGCAATGATAGTCGACATTCCATGACCTCTTCCAAACGTGGCTTAAATTTCGGGCAATTCTGTGTCAATATACTGCTCTGGCCATTTTAAAATAATATGTAATATTAATAATATTTTCCAAATTCTGTTGGATCACCTTTTTCTGGGAAATGGCCACAGATACAGATCTCTTGCAATTGGCTGTCCAATTTCTGCTTTCCAAATTTTATGACATAGATAAGTGAGCACATCCAGAGTTGCATGTGTTTGCTGAAACATCGCGACTGGTATTCCAGAAATTCGTAGGGCTTTTTCTTTTGCTAAAGCATTCAGCAAAGCTTTATACTTCTTTAAGTACACACGCTACTCTCTTCCTGAAATGGCCTGGCACTGATCAATTCTTTGATATGGTGACTGTATTCCTTCCACTTTCTTTTTTTTTTAAATTTAAATTTATTATTAATTTCAGTAAAAATTTACAGAGACTTTGGATTTCCATTCATTCACTGTTGCACATTTCTCCCTTCCCAACCCTCCCCCCTAGTACACTACCCTCTTGGAAAAGTAAAAGAAAAATTCTTTCATTGTTTTACAAACCATCCCCCAGGTCCAATCCACCATGTAGCCTTCGCTCTGGACTCCTGTCATGACAAAAATCCCTAATCAAATACCCCTTTTAAACAGTTTTCTCCCTCATCTGTTTCAATGCAGTATACGTTATTGAACCCATCTTTCTCAGTCTCCCCAAACCCCCAAAGTCAGTCCTATTTTACAACATTCACTCAGCATAATGTCCTCCAGGGTCACCCATTGTGAATAATATTGCATGAGTTCCTTGTTTTTCAAAGCAGCATAGTATTCCATTGTGTGAATATACCACAGCTTCTCTACCCATTTGTTTGTTGATGGGCATTTGGGTTGTTTCCAGCTCCTTGCTATTGTGAACAAAGCCGCAATAAACATGGGTGTGCATCTATCTGTTTAGATGTCAGTTATGGTCTCTTTGGGGTATATTCCCAGTAGTGGAATTGCTGGGTCAAGTGGTATCTCTATTTGTAACTTTTTGAGAAAGCGCCATACCACCTTGCACAGTGGTTACACCATTTTACACTTCCACCAACAGTGAATAAGGGTTCCAGTTTCTCCACAGCCTCGCCAGCATTTGTTGCTTGCTGTTCTGTTAAATTCTGCTATTCTGACTGGGGTGAGATGATATCTCATAGATGTTTTCACTTTCTTTTGATGCTCCCTGCATCATTCAATGTTCTGCTCTTAGCACAGATGCAGTCAATTTGATTCTTATGTGAAGGAATCATGATGTTCTTATGGATTCTTTCACACAGGAATAAAACTGGTCAGGTCCATGTGTTTATGTTTTTTAAAAAGGTCCATGCAAGAAATAAATCACTGACTGCACAAAATGCTACCATGCCAACTTCAGCGTCATTCTGTCATGAAGGCCTTAGTCTTGCAGCTAGCAGCCCTCCTTCTCCCTTGTTTCTGATGCCTGCATTGAAGTCACTAGTCATTGCACGCTGGATCCATTTCAGACTGCACAAGGTGGCTGCTGTTGATAGGTGCCGCTGAGTCAAGCACGACTCACAGCAATCCTATTAACATCTGACCAGAACCCTGCCCTATCCTGTGCCATCCTCATCATGTCTGACACACTAGAGCCCATTGCTGAAGTCACCACATCAATCCATCTCATCAAAGATCTTCCTCTGTTCCACCAACCCTCTATCTTTCCAAGCATGATTTCCTTCTCCAAGGAACAGACTCTTCTAGCAACATGCCAAAGGATGTCAGATAAAGCTTTATCATCCTTTCCTCCAAGAAGCATTCTGGCTGCACTTTCTCCAAAACATGTTTGTTCTTCTGGCAGTTCATGGATATTCAGTACTCTTCTCCAGCACTACAACTCAAAGGCATTAAGTTTTCTTTTGTCATCCTTATTCACTGTCCAGCTCTCAGATGTGTAGCAAGTGACTGAAAAGACATGGCCTAAGTCAGGTGCACCTTTGTCTTCAAACTGACAATTGCTCCTCAACAGTTTGGAGAGGGTCCTAACATCAGACTTGCCCAACGTCTCCTTATCTCCTGAATGGTGGCACCATGGGTGTTATGTTTAAATAAGTTGGTAAATAAATGTCCAAACTTTATTTTTGCTATTGTGGGTACATTTAAACTCCCTGAGAGTCAGAGAATCATAGCTAAACGTTGCATAGCTAAACTTCCACACTCCTTTCCACTACCACAATTTGTAGTCTGTTAAGAGTCCTTCCTCAGGAACGCCTGGGGAGCCTTTATAAACCCACATGCTTGGCTCAGTTGACCTGCAGTAGAACCTCAACTCCTGGCTTTTTGGGACAGCCAAAAAGAAGAGCTTAACTAACAACAAAGCCTGAACCAGAGGAAGTGCTGTATATTGTCAGTATTATTATTAACTGTCTTGAGGCACCTCCTGAACCAATCCCACATTCTTGCTACAAGTCACAAGATGACATGCACTCTGTCCGCAGGCGAACTCCTGGCTCTACTCAGACCCTGTGGGCTTTCTCAACAGTAGTGTTTTCACAACAAACTGCTCTTCATTTGGTTCAGGATTTATTATTGTTGTATTTTCTCCAAAAGAACCACAAATGCTATGAATAATAGATGAAGAGGTGAAATCCTTTTTCAGCAAATGTCATAAGCACCTCTGCCCATCTGACCAAACTAATGGACCAAGTGAATGGAATCTAGGTGACTCCAGGAGGGATGGGGTACAGTGGGGAATAAGACCTTCCTTTTTTCCAAAGCTGGGTCACTAGCATGGGGTGTGCCTGTTGTCCTCATAGGTCCCCCTGGTTGCTTTCTCCTAGCTTATACTGGCCCTTGAATCTCTGGCAGGGGGCAGGGGAAGGCTGTTCAGCTAAGAGGGGCTAGGGAGGCACGTACCACAGTCTCCGTGGCCCTTGGAATGAGGGCTCTCAGGCACGTCAGTAGAGTCCTTGTGCTCTGCGGCTCTCCTGGACGTTCTCGTCTTTGTGGGCAGCTCTGGGGCCTGCAGCAAAGTACCTGCTACACCGCGCATGCCCTTTTTCCCCAGTTCTTTTTCAACTTCTAGAAAGCACACACACAAAAGCCGGCAGCCATCAGTAATGGTATTATTTTGGTATGTTGGTGCTCTTTTTCCTTTGAAGATAATAATGCTCATTTATACACAGTTACAGAAAAGAGACAGGGATGCCGAAGAAATAGCACTTATCATTCAGAAGAATTCTGCATGGTTGTAACAGATGCAGATGCAAACTCACTGTTGTGGAATTGGAATTGACTCAGAGCTGACCCTCTACTGGGTTTCCAAGGCAGTAAATACGATGGGAGGAAAAAGCCCAATTTTCTCCTGAGAAGCAGCAGGTGGAGCTGAGCCAATTGAGAAGTTGCAGCCTTTGGGTGAGCAGTACCACTGTCCATGACCAGCCCACCAGAGCTTCCTCTCACAAAGACAGAGTGCTCCACCATAACACCTCTGCTTTGTCCTGGTCTGAGATAGCTTGCGCGCTACTTCAAGTGAACTGAAGGACCAGGGATTTCGTCTCATTAGAGCTGCCCCTCCTACCTCAACCTTCCATTCCTGCAGAGCACAAAGAGAAAGACAACTTTACCATCAGATATGCTGGATTCCTGAAACATCGTTTCAAAGGCTTGGTGGATTTCAGCAAAAGAGGGCCGGTCAGAGGGATTCCACTGCCAACCTGGGAATGAGACCAGAGTCAGACCACGCATCAGGCATGCTACAAGGCCTACGGCTAGCAATTCTCAAGCAATGGTAAAGCAACATTCCAATACTGCTGCCAGTCATCATCCAATCTTGCTGTCATGTCAATCATCTTTTGCTGTGACAAGTTAAAAGTGACAAATGCCACTGTGTCCTGTCACAGACATTAGGGATCTGAAAAGACTTTAGATATTTTTTAGAATATGGTCTGTAAAATCCCAGAAAGGTGGCTGACAGTGAAAACAGCACACACTGTTTCCTCAATCCCAGTGTAACTGGTGCTGAGAATGACTAAACATTTTGAACCCACCCTCAAGTCACGGCTATCAAAGTCCAAAATCCTAGTCAGTGAAAAGATGCGGACGAAAAGGACTACCAGGCTTGAGAGTGCCCAACGTCAGTGAGAATGCAGAGGAGGCCACTCAAATATACTTTAGGAAGGAGAATATCAACTAGTACAATCTTTTTTTAAAGATAATTTTTTTGGGGAAAAAAATCTATCAAAATATAACATACACAAAGTTCAGTTTAACTTTTAGAAATACTGGCATAAGTGAGCAGAGATATTTACAAGGATGTTTTTGTTATGTCTATAACGGGCAACAAACAAGTGTGTAAAACAATCAAATAATTACCAAAAGAGGGATAGATACACGAACACATCGTTTACTTCAATGCTAGGCGGCGACATGAATGAGAAGAGATCTAATGAAAAACTATGCCCGTTACACTAAAAAGTAATAGGGGAAGGATGAGAAAATGATGCAAAATCATACAAATACAGTAAGAAAAACAAGATACTTCTGGCTGGGGAAGAATTCCTTGGGACACTGACTTACTATACTAGAATGTTGGAAGCTCCCAAATCTGAATTTATTAATCATCATCATCATCCTAGATTTAGTTATCTATCAAGTTTTTTCTTAAAAACACACAAAAAATAAAAAAAAATTTCTCATATGTGTATAAACTCTGTAGAAAATACAGGTCTTAGAAGCAATAAAACAATTTGAAAAATATGTGTCAAACTATATTTGTTGCCTCTAAAAAGAAGGAAAGAGAACACTCTAGTTTTTACTTTCTGCATCTACTCCTGCACGCTAACATTTCTGACATTGCCATGTGTAGTCTTAATGACAGGCTGGGGAAGGCTCACATGCGCGCATGAGTTCATAGACTTTCTCCGGGCAGCCTTCCGGGCGTTCCATGCGGTAGTCTTTCTCCAGCAGCTCATACACCTGGGACAAGTCAATTCCTGGGTAAGGTGACATGCCATAGGTAGCTATTTCCCAGAGCAATACTCCAAATGCTAAAAGGAAAAAGAGAAAGGTTGAAGATGTGTACTATCTGAAACTACACTGCATCTAAAATTAGTTACCTGCAGGAGACATTAAAAATGATTCCCTCAGAAGTAACTCAGGCATTGACAGACTTTAACAGGCTTGTTAATTAACAACACAAGACAGAACAGGGCAGTGTTAGACTCTCCATTTATTTAATAGCACAGAGTAAACACACTGAAGAAAATAAGAGAACTGTATTAATCAGAGGTGCCCTTGTGGTATAATGTGTAACATGTCAGTTTGCTAACTAAAAGGTTGGTGGTTCAAATCCACCAGGCATTCATCAGGAAAAGGATGCACAATCTCTTCCTGAAAAGATTTACAATATCAGACACCTGCTGGAGGGCTGCAGTGAGTCGGCCTTTACTCCACAGTAGCAGTCTGGTGTGGGCCTGGTATTGATCAACTCCTATGTGGTCCTTTAGGTCATTTGGTGAACTTGGCTGAGATATGTCAGAAAAGGAGGATAAAGCTGGAAGTTAGGAGGTTAACATCTATTCAAAGTTCTGTGATCAACTAGCTACATAACTAAGTGGAGCCATTAGCCTTTTTTTTGGTTTATAAGATTATCTCTAATGCCCCTTCCAACTCTAACATGTTCACCTTACAAAAGCTTTAAAAATTGTCAATCAAATTAAATAATATCTATTTCTTTCTCTCATGGAACTTTATGTCTATTCAAGTGAAATAAACACCAGAATAACTAAAACAATGTATATGTCAGGAGTCTAACAAAATTCAGCACACATTTATCCTAATATTTGACGGATACATCCCTAATATAAAACATACAAATTACACCTTGGACCAAAAATAAGCCCATTAATTAATAGGGGAGAAAAAAAGCTTTCCCAACAATGTCAGAAACTAGGTAAGAATGCCCTTCATCTCCTTTTCTATTTAAAATTGCAAGAAGCTATTAGCCAATGCAATTAGACAAGAGAAAGAAATCAGAAGCATAAGACCTGGAGAAGAGACACAACATTCCTATTACAGATCCTGAGAACACAAAAGAATCAATTGAAAACTTACACAAACAATGAGAAAAGTCAGCAAAGTAGTATGTTATAAAATTAACATGCAAGAACCCCATTATTCTAAATCAGCACTGGAGACATCAGTAGAAAATCATGTACAGTTCAGTGTATGTACAGATGGAGAGACAAAGAAGCCATCACAGATTATCCTGGTATATACACACACATATTATCTAGTTCTGTATGCTCAGAGGACCTAGAAACAGTGATACTAAGGCAGCAATAATCACACTCAATATTTAGATTTTGGGTTCTAAGTATCATTCTCTAATAAAAGGAACCAAGACTCTTTGGAGAAATGATGGATAATAGGGCCAAGTTGAGTCTGGGTTACCTTTTAGTACCATAAGGAAGGAAGTATTAAAAAATCAGAAAGGTGGGGACATGTTAAAGTGGAATAGAAAGCAACCTGAATGCATTTGCAGTGATGAAAGCTGGAACACGAAAATAAATAACTTAGATTAGATTTTAAACCCATAGACCGTGTTGATATAAATGATAGCATAATCAGGTAAACTGGGGAGATAAGACAGATCTTTTTCACAGAAGAATTCAAAATAGTACCTGTAAAGAAATACTTCCTCAGGAAGAAAAACTTACTCTCTCCAACCTACTCATGTGGGTGGGCTAGATTTAGAAACTTGCTTCTCAACAAGAGAGCAAGGAAAGGTAAAAATATTCTTAGAGAAACTGCACTGTCCTTAAACAAGTGATGATGGTTGACTTCACTAGTTACATCACATGGCCATCAAGTATTCCTCATATAATAAGCTTTTGTTAGATCAAACCACAAAAAAGCCCCTTCACGGTAGATTACGGAGCTCTGGCTGCCTGGTGGGTAAGGAGCAGGGCTGCCAGCCTGAAAAGCACACCACCTCCTATGACATAATTCTACCAGAATAAAAGGGAAAATAAGAGCATGGCCAAGCTGCCTGGAAACAATTACCAACTTACTAGAAATACTGGAACTAGAGTATATTCAATAACAACAGAAAGTTACAATCAACAAAAACCTAGATACGGGAAATGCTAAAGGACAAATGATTTGGTTTTGTCAACAAATAAATAACAAGGCAAATAAAGAGATGGAAAGAGAACATAAAAATTAAAAGAGGCTTAAGAGACACATCAAATAACTGTACTGTATGAACTCTATCTGGATCAAAATCAAACTGCAAAAAGAAAAGTATGACTATTATGATTCTTTTGGAAACTTGAACACTGACTAGATATTGAATAATATTCAGAAATACTTTCAATTTTGGAAGAAGGAGAATGAAGGGTCTATTAATTTTAAAGTCACAGAAAAAAAAGCACAAGCTATAATATTTATGGATAAAACAGAAAGATGTCTAGGATATGCCTCAAAATAATAAGGGTAACGACAGGAGAGATGAAAACGAAGTGACAGGGGTGTGGAAGTTCATTAGCTTACCACTTTCTATAATATTCAAATTCTTTTTCGTAAATGTGTATAATTTCTATAATATGATTTAAAGAAATAAAGGTTTTAAAAAAACCCCAAAACGGTCACATGAGACTTCCAGACAAAACCACACTAATTGGCATCCCCTGCACAGAGCAAGCTTCTGGGAGCCTGTTGTGTCCCAGCAACTTCAGTCAGCAAGCTAAAAATGGACAACACAGAAAGATGGTGGGTTTGGGATTTTGTGTTTTGTTTTTGTGTTGGTTTTTTTAAAAAAAAGTTAATTCTGCATCTCCATTACTTTTGAGAGGGAGAAAGCTCACTTTCATTTTATCTCATTGTGGAGAAAAATATAATATGAATTCAGAAGAAACAAATATAATATGAAAAAGAGGAAAAAATAGGAAAAAAGGAAGAGGAAATCAGAGAGCAAGAATGGGGGGGGCAGTGAGTCAGCCAGGGGAGAATGGGGACGAGAGAGGCATGCAGAGTGCACACAGCAGCAGAACCCTTACCCCAGACGTCAGACTTAATAGAAAACTTGTTGTAGGCCAGGCTTTCTGGGGCAGTCCATTTGATCGGGAACTTGGCTCCAGCGTGGGCTGTGTACGTATCCCCTGTCATTAACCTGCTCAGGCCAAAATCAGCCACCTTCACCAAGTGGTTTTCCCCTACCAGGCAGTTTCGGGCAGCAAGATCCCTGGGAAAGGAAAAGGTTCATCCATGAAGAGTTCCTGGGTAGCTTTCCAGTGTCACAAAATTCACCATCATTAAGTAAAGGTGTGATAATGCAATGAGAAAATCAAGTATGCTTCCCTGGAAACCTGCACTAACCCCCCATCAGGGAGCAGTGCTGCTCCTCAACAAGTGAATACGGAGTTCGCAGGCAGCGGGATGTGGCAGAGTGTGGCCCTAGAAGTGGGCTCCCTGGCCCCATGACCCGGAGCTGGTTTATTCTGGGACTCAGTTACCTCATCTGTAAAATCAAGGTAGTCTTAACAACAGCAAGGGCCTCAGAAAGGTTGCTGTGATTAGTAGTGAACTAATATGTAAAAGTGTTTTGAATGATGCCGTGAGCATAGCAAGTATTAAGTGTATGGTAATTAATACTATATGCTGGTCTTAAGAGAACAAGTCTTGCTAAGCTCAATCCTTGCTTGTAAGAAACATCGTAGAGAGAGTTTCCCCTTGTCCTATCAGACTTCAAAAGTCTTTGGCATTTAATCCAAATGGTGTTTCTTATTTTCTTTCTTCCTCACACTTACCCAAATGCATCCTAAAAATTCACTCCTATATAATCAGATTCCTCTTGCCTCCTGATTCTCTCAGGGAGGCAGAGTCTAATCTTTGCTTCATGGACATTAGCCATGAAATCTCAAGGCAGACTGGATTGGAGGAATGAGAAGTAGCAGCAGCTTAAGGCGATGGCTGTGTAAGATAGCTTGATCATCAGCAATCAGAGAGAAATTAAATACAGAGGAGTTGTGCCTAATAGGATTTCCGTAAAGCATTTTAAGTTTGCCTGAATGAAGAGGGAATGGACCTAGCCATGCAAGGCGAACCAGAAGTCAAGAAATCTCAATTTGCAGCATCAGAGGGTTCACGTTCTTGAGTGACAGAAGCATCTGAATCAGGCTCTCCTGGAGCAGAGAAAATCTGTCTTACAAGGAACCGCCAACATTTCACACATGATACTCTTATTCCTCACTATGAAATCTCATGTACCGGTTTCATCCTTCAGTTAATTGGGTAGGAAAGGTCATAACTGTGGCATGGAGAACATCTTGTATAAAATAGTCCTGCAGAGCCATCAGGCTCTGTCCTGTACATGCCATTACTTTGCTAGGAAGCCATTTCCATCAGCAAAGAATGCAAAGGCCAAGATAATTGTGGCACACCTGAAGGTCAGAATACTCGAGCCTTTAACACTCAGACACTTCATTTAGCCTACACATACACAATTCTGACAACAGTGGAAATGTCTCTGAACCAGATGACATCCAGTTAAGTGGAGACTTAAAGAATAATAAAGAGAAGGAATTGGGGGGGAGGGGATATCTCCAGACAAAAAACAAAACCTATGTCCTAGCTGTTACCAGGAGTTTATGTAAAAGCAAAAGCTGCTGCTCCCAGGAAGAGGTCATTACTGATGATGGCTGGCCTCGGAGGAACAATGAGCACTCAATTTCAGAGGGAGCTGTGATTATTAGGAAGGACGCCTTTTATGCACTTCATTTAATATTCCACTTAGTCCAAAATGGTTCAGAAGTGAAATATTTCTTACCTTGGGGATTAACTGCTCCACTGGTCCAGGGTCTAGGCCAGGCTGAATTTAGTCCTGGCTCCATGCCCAAAGTCGGCTCTGTCAGGAACCTAGTGTTTGCCTCTGTTCCAAAATCCCACGTGTTGCCAGCATTAAAGTTAGAAGCTGAGCCATAAAACCACGTAGGTCAGGGACTTTTGTAAAATGATGCTCAGGTTCCACACTCTGCTGGGAGGGTGGTTTTGTCAGGCTCCTACCTGTGGATGAAGTTTTTCTTTTCCAGGTACTCCATGGCTGACGAGATCTGTGTGGCCATGTACAGCAGCACCACAGCATTCACCTCCTGTCGATTGCACTCCCGCAGGTAATCCAACAGATTCCCATAGGTCATGAACTCAGTGATTATATAGAATGGAGGCTCCCGGGTACAGACGCCTGCCAATAAGACATCAAGGCTTCAGTGTGCTGCTCGATTCCCGATTAGACAGACGAGCAACAGGAAGGACAAGAACTAAAGGCACAGGCTTCCGAAGTGGGCCCTGATTTTGCTCCTAAATCCTGGGCCCAATCTCTAATACAGTTCTGACTCATGGCCTGAGATTGTGCTCCTATGGGAGAATACAGGCATGTGCTTTTTTTTCTTGAAAGTCAATGAACTTGAACCTGCTCAGTTAAAAGGCACTGACTCTGAGTTCAGAAGCAAAATCAAGCCACACACTAGATGACAGAAGCCACTGTTAGTTTACCCCAGCTCTGTGGCTACATATGCTTGAGAAAATTTGAATGAACAAACTCTGGGAAATTCTTAGGTTTCAGAAGCTTATTTCAGATTTGTGTTTTCTGGCTGCTTTCAGTGATCAACTGAAAGCAACATCATCTTCTTGGTCTCTCTCATACACTGCACACAGGCATACCACCCCACACAGACTTTTTACCAGGGGCTGAATGTGGGAAAGTTATCCAAATCAGAAATCTTAATGTAGTAAGCTGCTTATCTCTACTTTAATAACATCGGCATCACCTCAGAGGCTTTAATTAAAAGTTCCTCTCTTCAGACCTTGGTACACTTACCAAGTAACTGCACTAGATTAGGGTGTTTGATCTCTTTCATAACTGCAGCTTCTTTCAAGAACTCCTCCACCTCCATGGTGTCCTCCTGTGAGAAAAGGGATGCAATTATTTCAGCCAAGTAATGTTTGAGAGTTGTTATGTGCTGTCGAGTTGCCTGTGACTCACAGCGACCCTATGTACAACAGCCCTAAACCCTGCTCTGTCCTGTGCCAACCTCACTGTCTCTAGCAGATCCACCCCGATTACCCCAGTCACTGAAAAAAATTCACCTCATGGAGGGTCTTCCTCTTCTGTGCTGTCCCTCCACTCTCCCAAGCATGACGTCCTTCCCCAAGGACTGGTCTCTCCTTGCAACATGTCCAAAGTATGTCACACGAAGCTTCAGAATTCTTGCCTCCAAAGAGCAGCCTGGTTTAACCCTCTCTAGGATGAGAACTTTGGAGAGGTCCCGAACAGCAGACTTTCCCATGGCAATGCGCCTTTTAATTTCCTGGCTGCTGGTGCCAAGACTACTGACTATGGAGCCAAGCAAACTAAAGCTGTGTACAATCTCAATCTCTTCACCATCCATCCTGATGCTGCCAATTGGTCCAGTGGTGAGAATCTTTGTCTTCTTGACATTGAGCCTGAATCCATATTGTAGGCTGCAGTCCTTGACACTCTGTAGCAGGTGCTTCAGGTCCTCTTCAGTTTCAGCAAGCAGGGTTGTGTCATCCGCATAACGCAGGTTGTTGATAAATCTGAAGAGCAATGGTGTCTCTCTGGAGACTAAGGTGCGTCTGATACAGGCTATGGTCTTCGCAATCACTTGTTATGCATCTGAGAGTTGGACAATGACCAAGGAGGATAGAAGGAGAATTGATGCCTTTGAGCTGTGGTGCTGGAGAAGAGTATTGAGAATATCATGGACTGCTAGGAAAACAAACAGATTTGTCCTGGAAAGGGTTAAACCGGGTGGCTCCTTGGAGGCAAGGATTCTGAGGCTCCGGCTAACATTCTTTGGACATGTTGTGAGGAGAGACCAGTCCTTAAAGAGGGACATCATGCTTGGGAGGGTGGAGGGACAGCGCAGGAGAGGAAGGCCCTCTATGAGGTGGATTGATTCAGTGACTGGGATAATTGGGATGGGAGTGTCAGAGACAGTGCAATTGGCACAGGACAGAGGGGAGTTTAGGGCTGTTGTACATAGGGTCGCTATGAGTTGCAAGCAACTCGACGGCACATAACAACAACAACAACAAAGGATGAGAACTGGCTGCAGAAGGTCAAGGACTGCAACCCTCAATATGGATTGAAGCTCAATGTCAAGATAACAAAGATTTTCACCACTGGGCCAATTGGCAGCATCAGTATGGATGGTGAAGAGATTGAGATAGTTAACAGTTTTAGTTTACTTGGCTCCACAGTCAACACTCTTGGTAACAGCAGCCAGGAAATCAAGAGACGAATTGCATTGGGAAAGTCAGCTGTGAGGGACCTCTCAAGAGTACTGACGATCAACGATGTCAGGCTGGAGACGAAGGTGTGCCTGATCCAGGCTATAGTCTTCCCCATTACGTGCTATGCATCGCAGAGTTGGTCAGCGAATAGGGATGACAGAAAGGGAATTGATGCCTTTGAGCTGTGGTGCTGGAGAGGAGTGTTGAATATACCATGGACTGCTAGGAGAACAAACAGCTTTGTCCTGGAGAAGGTGAAGCCAGAATGCTCCTTGGAGTCAAGGATTCTGAAGCTTTGTCTGACATACTTTGGGCAAGTTGCAAGGAGGGACTGGTCCTTGGAGAGGGACCAGTTTGTTTGGGAGAGTGGAGGGACGGCGCAGGCGAGGAAGACCCTCGATGAGATGGATTGATTCTGTGAGAGGAATGGTGGGAATGAGTGTGTTTGAGATGGCGAGGTTGGCACAGGATAGAACGGCATTTAGGGCTCTTGTACATAGGGTCGCTGAGTTGCAAGCAACCTGATGGCACATAACAAGAACAACAACAAGATGAACCTGTTCATTTTCTTAGCAGTCCATGGTATATTCAATACTCTTCTTCAACACCACAGCTCAAAGGCATCAATTCACCTTCTATCCTCCCTAGTCAGAGTATAAATGGTTAATATAAACCAGAGCTTCAATGTAGAATCACTGTCATAGACTGTACAGTGCTCCATCAAAATACAGGATTGTTAAGATAAAATGTGGAAACTAGCACTCATGATTACCCATGTAGGAGGATTAAAGGCAGAATGCAACACTCCTTATCCCCTCACAGCCATAACCATCTGTAAGGCAAGTTTCTCTGGGGAGTGCCCTGCAACACCTTTTATGTCATTAGAGATACAAAGGTAGGAGGGAGTGTAACCTCAGTACCACCAAGGAAGAACTGCCAGAAGTGGAGTGCATCTTTTTGGACTCAGGCACTTTATAGACAAAGCTCCTTGATACCAGGGAAAGCCAAAACATAAGGAGTTCTCCTAAGAATTCTGAACCTGTTGTTGTTAAGCGCCATCAAGTCAACTACAACTCACAGCAGCCCTATGAACAACAAACAGAAACCTCACCCTGTCATGTACCAGTCTCACCATCTTCACCACACTCAAGTTCATTGCTGCAGTCACTGTGCTACTCCATTTCGAGGAAGGTCTTCCTCTCCTGTTGAGACTCTGCTTTTCACAGGATGATGACTTTATCCAAATAGGGCCTCCTGACAATATGCCTAAAGTAAGTGAGATGGAGTTTTACCATCGTTTCCTCTAAGGAGCACCCAGGTTGCAATTCTTCAAAACAGACTTGTTTTTTCTTTTGGCAATTCAGGAGACAGCCAGTATTTTTCACTAACACCACACCTCAAAGGCACAGTTCTTTTTTGGTCTTCCTTATTCACTGTCCAACTTTTGTATAAACATAAAGCAATGAAAAATATCATAGCTTGGGTCAGGCATGCCTGTCACTAATGCCATACCTATCTTTTAATTTCCTGACTGTGCTACCATGGATGTTGATTATAGATCAGAGCAAAACTAAATCACTGAGATCTTCAATCATTTCACCATGTATCATGAGGGAAGACTTTTCCTTTCTTGAGGCTGAGATGTAATCCACATTGACGGTTTTGGTCTTATAGTCCTTGAAGTCTTCACTTTCTGCAAGCAAGGGTATGCCATCTGCAGGTCACTGATCAGTCTTCCTCCAATCCTGATACCACATTCTTCTTCATATAGTCTAGCTTCTCAAATTATATGCCCAGCACACAGACAAACAGGTATGGAGAAAGGCTACAACCCTGACATATACACACCTTTCTTGATTTTAAACCAGGCAGTATTACCTTGTTCTGTTAGAAAGATAAACTCTCTATGTATGTACAGGTTCCCATGAGCACAATTAAATGTTCTGGAATTTCCATTCTTCTCAAAGTTATTTATAATTTATCATAATCCACACTGCTAAAACCCTTTGCATAACCAGTATTACACAAGTAAACATCTATCTGGTATTCTCTGCTTTCAGCCACGATCATCTGACATCAACAATGACTCTGGGCCTACAAGTGCTGAAAGAAACCAGGTCTTTCCTTCCCAACTGACATAGAAAGAGTGGGCCTTTTCCCAGAGCTGCCACCCTGAAGACTTCTGACATCTGGCCTCTTAAACTGGTGGATTTTTTTTTTAAAAAAAAGTATCTGGAAAATGTTACTGTGATACATTTCGTAGCAGTACAAAATAAATATGTAACAGTAATTATTCTATGTTCATGGGTGTGTTTGTTTGTGGTCATAAAATAATTATAAACTTCATAAAAAATCTAAACATAAAAAAATCTAAACAGAATAGCGTTTGCCAAATTGCAAGAGATAATTATTTGTTTAAGGTGCACATGTAAAGTTTTAGAAACAAAGTGAAGGAAAAATTTCTAATAATTGTAATTTCCTATGCTCTAGGATTATTTCTTCTATACTCAGATCTCAGCAATTCTTTGCTTCTACAAGTTGAGTGAAAGAGGTAGGGGAAATACCAGACCAATCGCAAGACACACATTCTAATGGAAACCTGGTCAAATCACTAGCTTTTCTCGATTCAGTTACTTTACCTACAGATTTTCGATAGCTATAGTATCCATGTAGAAGGTGGGGGGGGGGAAGGCAAGCAGATTTCAGCAATGGATTCTGGCCTCTTACAGTGTAATAGAATAAATCTGTTTGTTAATGCCATCCACTTCTGGGATCTCTGTGACAGCAACGGGAGATAATGAATTCAGTTACCTTTGCCCCCTCACTCCTGTTATGCTGCCAAATCTTCGCTTGGATGGCAGAGACTTCTTTGTTACTGAACTTCATATGTGATCACCCAGGACAACAACTCAAAGTTTGCTTGTGTATGTTGGGGACCTGTTTCTGCTAGCTGCTATGTAGGATGTTCCTCCCTCATCACTGAGTGCAGCTGGGGTGGGTGTGTGGAGGAATGAGTCACAGGCAAATACCATAAACATGGCATTCCTTTTCCTGAGACTTGCATGGCATCAAATCAGCAATGGAATAGCTGATTCTTTAGGGGTCTTTACAGTTAAAGGGAAAGTTCTGGTGGTGTGGTCTGAGGAGAGTCAAGCCCTAGTCTCTAGCAGTTTGAATCCTCCAGTGGTTCCAAAGGACAAAGACGGGAAATTTCCTTCCATCTGATTTACAGTCCAATGGACTGTCACCTATGAGTTGGCTCTGACTCAATGGCAATGAGTGAGTGAACATATTTTAAAAAAAAAATCACTTGAACAATCTGATGCATCTCTGGTTTAAGAGAAGCAGCCAGTTAAGCTCTGGTGACACAAAAATATATTAACTAATAAGAATGATGCTTCAAAATACAGCAGAAACAGAGGTTGCTGAACTACTTAGGAATGCGGTGTCATCAAGCTCGTAATGAAGCAATCACCACTCTCTGTCAGGACAATTACTCAGATTCCAAAATCATCCTCACTCTCAGCTCCCCTAACAACAAATTCACACACGTCATTGTACGTGTCTCATTCCACCAAGTTCACTGTATCTAAATGCCAAGGGGGAGAAAAAAGGTATCAGCAAATGCCCAGGGCAAACGTGATAG